TTTTTTAATATGTGTCTTATTTTTATATTATTATTATTAATATTATTTTAATATGTTGTGTTATTTATTTATTTTAATACTTTTAGTACTTAAACTAAAACTAAATGAAAATTAGAAATGTTGCCTTGGCAACTAACTGAATTAAAGTTTTAATAAGTAAATAATTATATATTATTACTAGTTATATAATATTAATAATTAATGATATACTATTAATTATATAATACATATAATATGTTTTTATATTTTATTTCAATATTCTTTTTTTTTAATTCTTTTTTTTTATAAATAGACTTACAGTAGTTAACAATAATAACCTTGGTCACAGTGTATTATGGGATTGATTTCACCATAAATGATACATGCAATTCAGCTTTTGAAGCTTTTGGCCAAAAGAAGGCGCTAATCATGCCGTCTTCCTTTTTGAAACAGTCTTCCTGTTGTGCCTGTGATGCCTTAAAATACTGCCTACATAGGCAGCTCACTAGGTTTTGGAACAGATCCATATTGTTTTCAAAATGAGGTGATTTCTCCATAGACACGCTTGCGTGTGTTTCAGGGACGAGCTGTTCCGTCAGAGTCTGTCTCGGCTGCGTGAGCAGGTGGTCCGAGCGAACACTCTCGTGCGAGAAGCGAACTTTCTGTCCGAGGAGATGCACAAACTCACCGACTATCAGGTCACGCTGCAGATCCCAGCCGCCAACCTCAGCGCCAACCGCAAGGTGAGAAACGTTCACTTAAAGCAATAAGCCCCAAGAAGCCATGGTTTACAGTGAGTTTATAACAGCTAAGGGCCGTTGTTAGGTACGACGCAAAGCGGATTGACTAAAACCCCTTTAGCTGTTATAAATTCACTGTAAACCACGGCTTCACGGGGTTTATTGCTTTTATAAAACGGTTATTCCATATACGTAGTAAGGTTCCACGAGCAAATAAAGTGTAATGATATTAATAAAAACAGTATTCTTCCACCAAACAATGTAGCTCCTCAGAAACAGTTGTGGTTGCAACAAAGTGGTTGCCGAGCAACACACAAACGTAAACAAAGGTGTGTGTTACTTTGTAGATTAATTTACAACAGCTTTGAATGCGGCTCAGCCAATCAGAATCAAGCACCGGAACGCTCTGTTTTATAACAGCAGATGCACAAATATAAAATATAAATATAAACTAGATCAGCATACAAGCTGAGCAGACGTGAAATGCAGAAAATAGAAAGAGAACAAGAGCATTTTATTCAATTTTTGTTGCATTTATCAGTTCATGCATTACTTGTTAGCTTCATGCATTGCTTGTTAGAAAGCAAACCTTAAGTGAAGTTGATAGTTGCTGTATTATGTTTCCTCTGTAATATTGAATTGCTGTAATTATTTTAATCACAGCGTGGCGCAATAGTCAGTGAACCGGCGATCCAGGTGCGACGTAAAGGGAAGGGAACGCAGGTGTGGACCATTGAGAAACTAGAGAACAAACTAGTGGACATGAGAGACCATTACAGAGACTGGAGAGAAGCAGCACAGGAGGTGGTGAGTGAAACAAATCAACGCTTTTATTCATCGAGGATGCATTGAATTGATCAAAAGTGACAGTAAAGACATTTAGAATGTTACAAAATATTCCTATTTCAAATAAATGCTGTTCTTTTGAACGCTTTTATCATCATTATGCATGCAGGTTTATGACCTCACATTAATTGAATGACAACATGAATTAAAAATGGTGACAAACAGTTCGAGTACCTAAAAATATACTTTTACATTCATGCATTTGGCAGATACTTTAATCCAAAGCAATTTACATTGTATTTATACATTTATCAGTTCATGCATTACTTGTTAGCTTCATGCATTGCTTGTTAGAAAGCAAACCTTAAGTGAAGTTGATAGTTGCTGTATTATGTTTCCTCTGTAATATTTAATTGCTGTAATTATTTTAATCACAGCGTGGCGCAATAGTCAGTGAACCGGCGATCCAGGTGCGACGTAAAGGGAAGGGAACGCAGGTGTGGACCATTGAGAAACTAGAGAACAAACTAGTGGACATGAGAGACCATTACAGAGACTGGAGAGAAGCAGCACAGGAGGTGGTGAGTGAAACAAATCAACGCTTTTATTCATCGAGGATGCATTGAATTGATCAAAAGTGACAGTAAAGACATTTAGAATGTTACAAAATATTCCTATTTCAAATAAATGCTGTTCTTTTGAACTTTCTGTTCATCTGTGAATCCTGAAAAATAAAATGTATCACAGTTTCCATAAAAATATTGTGCAGTACGACTGTTTTCAACATTGATAATAATCAGAAATGTTTCTCGAGCAGCAAATCAGCATATTAGAATGATTTCTGAAGATCATGTGACACAAGACTGGAGTAATTATGCTGAAAATACAGATTTGATCACAGAAATAAATTACATTTTAGCAGATATTCACATAGAAAACAGCTATTTTAAATTATAATAATATTTCACAATTTTACATTTTTTTCTGTATTTTTGTTCAAATAAATGCAGCCTTGGTGAGCAGAAGAGACTTCAAAAACATCTTACTGTCCCCAAACTTTTGAAAGTTGTTTGTGTAAAAAGCACTTTTTGCAGGGTTTCTGCGGGTCTAAACAGAAAGTCTTGAATTCATGAAGTCACAACATTAAATGTTGCGTGCACTGCAAAAAAAATGTAAAATGAATATCTTACTCAATATTTTTGTCTTGTTTTCCAGCACAAATATGTAAACATCCTTAAATCAAGACACATTTACTTGAGATGCAAAATGATGAGACATTTCCAAAATGAAGTGAGTTTATGCTTAAAACAAGAACAATTATCTGCCAATGGGAAAATCAAACTTGTTTTCTCTTTGAAAAGGTTATTTTTCTGACCCTATTAATAGATGTTTGTTCTTGTTTTAATCATAAGCTCATTTAATTTTGATGAATTTCTTCATGTCCCCTTCCACTTGCTTCTTAAATTTTCTTTACTTGGTCTTAAAATTTATGTAAATTTACCTTCACAAAACCTGCAGAAACCCTGTTTTTGTTTGATTTGACAGACACTTTTAATCAAAGCAACGTACAAATGAGGATCATTACATTTTTATTTATTTATTGTTTACTTATTTTTTGTTTATTTATTTACTCTTTTATTTATTTATGTTTAATTATTTACTCATTCACCTGTTTATATTTATTTATTTATTTACTTATTTATTTACTTAGTCATTTGTTTGCTTATTTTTATTTACTCATTTATTTGTTTCTTTATATGCTTATTTTTTGTTTATTTATATATTTACTCTTTTATATATTTATATGTTTAATTATTTACTCATTCACCCGTTTATTTTTATTTATTTATTTACTTATTTGTTTATTTATTTACTTATTTGTTTACTTATTTTTATTTACTCATTAATTTGTTTCTTTATATGCTTGTTTTATTTATTTAGATATTTACTCTTTTATTTATTTATATGTTTAATTATTTACTCATTCACCCTTTTTTATTGATTTATTTACTTATTTGTTTATTTATTTACTTATTTTTATTTACTCATTAACTTGTTTCTTTATATGCTTATGTTTTATTTATTTATATATTTACTCTTTTATTTATTTATATGTTTAATTATTTACTCATTCACCTGTTTATGTTTATTTATTTATTTAGCCGTTTATTTACAAATTTTTATTTACTCATTTGTTTGTTTATTTATATACTAATTTTTATTTGTATATTTACTCATTTATTTATTTTCTAATTTAGTTATTTATTTAATCCTTTATTTATATTTTTGGTTAATTACTCACATATTCACTCGTATATTTTTATTTATTTATTTTCTTATTTAGTTGTTTATTTCCTTATGCATTTATTTATTTACATTCATTTATATATAAACATATATACTCATTTAGTTGTTTAGTTACAAATTGTTATTTACTAATTTGTTTATTTATATACTAATTTTTATTTGTTTATTTACTCAATTTAAATTTTTTGGTTTTTTACTCATATATTCACTCGTGTATTGTTATTTATTTAGTTGTTTATTCGCATTTATTTATTTACATTCATTTATATATAAACATACATACTCATTAATTTAGTTGTTTTCTCATTTATTCATTTTTTCTTATTTATTTGTTTAATTATTTTCTCTATTTTTCTGACCCTATCGGCCCACATTTGTTCTTGTTTTAATAGTAAACTCACTTCATTTTTATAAATTTCTTCTTCATTTATTCCTTAAATGATTGGTCTTAAAAGGTCTAAAATGTACCTGCAGCAGCTCTGTTTAGTTTAGTTTGATTCGGCTGTTTTTCCCGCGTGTCTCGCAGGTGAACCGGCTGCACAGTAAGGCGGGCGATCCGTTCTATGAAGCGCAGGAGAATCACAATCTCATCGGCGTGGCAAACGTCTTCCTGGAGTGTCTGTTTCATGAGGTGAAGCTGCAGTACGCCGTTCCCATCATCAGCCAGCAGGGGGAGGTGAGCAGACGTCTGTGTGGTGAGCTGGCTGTTAGAGGCGTTTCTCATCTGGTCTCGATCTCTGTTGGCAGGTGGCAGGTCGTCTGCAGGTGGAGCTGCTGCGGGTGAGCGGCGTCGTTCCCGAGCGTTTAGCCGGAGGAGACGATTCCTCCGAGAACTCCAGCCAGAGCAGCGGATACGAGGTCATGGACAACAACGGAGAGATCGTCCACATGGCCAGAAAACTCACCTGCAGGGTAAAGAGCTCATCACAACTCATCACTGCATCTGCTCTGAGTTTGGGACGTTTATAACCAGTGTTGGGCAGTAACTAGTAGTGTAACTAACTACTAATAAGATTTCAGTAATAATATTACAGTTACCATCCATAAAACAGCTTAGTTACTTTTGATGCCTCAACTAGAGGTCTACACGGAGGACCCGAGGACCCGGGACCCGACCTGGGATCCGTATGGGTTCGGGGCTATATTTTAAATGGTCAGCCGGGTCCGGGTCGGGTCCCAATCTATTACTTCGGGTCCCGGGTCTGTTTAACATTGTGTGTAATACCCGAGTCGATCGGACTCGGAGAACACCCGGCCGTTATCAGAGTCAGTCAGTGCTGTGCGTGTGGTGTTTTGTAACTTTGAACTTGTAAAATTAGGATGAGAAAAGTGTGAGTCGGTAATTTGAAATAAGGTGAAAAAAGAAAAACAAAGAAAAAAACACGAGCGACGTGATCAGAAGCAGGGTGGGCAGAGTTAATGCACACGCATGGTGATGATGGATACCTTCATGAGTGATGTGAGTTACTATTGATAATTTTTTAAATAATATTATGAATGAACCGTCTTGTTGTTATATCTAAAATTTTTGCTCAGACTCTAATGAGTGTATTACGCATTTCAGTTGGCAAGAGAGGAGTAACACAGATGGAACTTGTTTGGCAAGGAGGATTGTGTGCATCACAGTCAGGTACAAGGGAGAAGGCTTCTTACATTAGGT